ACTCGCTAATTGTGTAAAAAGCATTAAGCATAATCTCGGACATCTCGGCTGTGGTAATAGTTTTCATTCGTCGTTTACCGCGGAAATTACGAAGGTTGCTGGTGGATCGTCGAGGGAACAAGTAAATGTACAATAAAATATAGTTGCAACGTTCAAACGTTATAATTCATTTACGTTTTTTTTCTCTTTTTATTTCCTTTTAAAAAAGCTCTTCCCTCTCCCTCTCTCTTTCTCTCGAAATACTCGAAAAACTGGTATACTGGAAGAGAGAAAATATAAAATGCAAGTAACAGGGAGTAGATTAATCTAATAGATCTGGTTGCAGAATTTCAAAACTGTTGCCCGAACGGTCGGTCTTTTGAATGCAACTTTATTTGTAATTCATGCCGCACTTTTACTCGTTTTACGTTTCGTTACCCTCGCTTTCGAAATTTCTAAGTAAGAAGAAAATCACGATTACAATTGAATTATTTAACCATTGGAATAAATTGTAATAACATAGGTCTACAACTTGGAAATTCGATCGCATAAAAAAGAAAAAAAAAAGATACATCGTATCTACATATTATATACACTCACAATTTCCAAAAAAAAAAAAAAAAGAAATAAGAAATCAATCGAAATGAAATCAAAATACATTATCCATCCGTGCTTTAAAACTATACCCATTAATTCACAGATGAGAATTATCGTAGGTTTGATAGGAGCGATAACAACCGATCCGTTAAATCCGTTAAATCCGTTAAATCCATCGTTGGAGTGAAATTTCACCGAAGGAAAGTAAAAAAAAAAAAAAAAAAATCGTCAATCGCAAATGTCACTGGACTCGGTGCTAAACGCTAAGGCAACGCTCGCTTGAAATTTTGTCGGCCACGCCCGTTTCCCTCGTTCCACCTGCGAGATATCTCTCGTTTTCTACTCGATACGATTGGAAACACGCGCTCGCACCACTTATCGTGCCTCCGCGCGATATGTACGGTTTTCTTGTTGTTTTTTCGACCGGCCAACTCCTACCGAGCCGCTCCTCTTACGTGAGCCCGTCGTGGAACGAGAACTTTTACGAAAGTCTCAGCATCGACGCGAGAAAGTAAAGCGTATCGAGTATTCGCCTTCGGGCTACCAATCTGCTCCATTTTCCGACCCCTCGTGCGCGCCTCCATGTCATATCGCTTCTGTATCCGCCTCTAAGATGCAAATAACCTCCTTTTTCCGCGCCGAGAAACCCATTTTTTTCCCCCCCCTCGAGACGGAGAGAGAGAAAGAGAGAGAGGAAGTTGCCAATTTCCAACTTTATTCCCCGATAAATCTGGGAACAAAGCGCCCCTCCCAGGACGAAGGAAGCAATTTATATGTATACGATCGTTCGTTTCTCATGCTTCGACACTGCGAACCATCATATTGGTGGAAAGGAAATCGTGAAACGTTTCGTTCGTTGTTGTAATTGGGTTACACTTGATTGTAAATTTACAGGGGAGAAATATTATGTGGGGGATAGATTTTTCGTTCGTTTCAAGAAAAGGGAAATTTTGAAAATTCATTCCTCTCTTCTTGGATAAAATGATTTTAAATAGCATCGCAAGCCTGTTGTTCGAAAGGCAGATGTAAGCGTTTGCACTTTTGACGAGGCAAGACAATAATTACAGGTGGCTACCGGTTATCGAGTCTCCAATTGTCGATACGTGTCTTCGAAGAATGTGGAAAATATAAATTTCAATTTCTCAGTTAATTATTCTACGAGTAATATTATATTATAAATACAATCGACTTGGAGAAAAATTTCAAAATTGTACAATTAGTCATCGATAAGATTTATTCGTTTGTTTTCCACGATTAATGACGAAGGGCGAAAAAGTGTAATTTCGCGTAATTTCGCGTAATTTCCCGTATTTTCCTGAAAGATCGTAGATCGCGTCTAACCTTCGAACACGCGCATCACGTGCACGCGAATCCCACCTTAATATTTTTTTTTTTTTTCCTTTCCAGAAACAATGGCGGAGAGACTATTGCTTCGTGAGTTTCCTGGTTTCAATTAAGCTTTCGCTTTCCAAGTAACTCGTGTTAATTACACTCGTGATATTGCTTTAAGATGAAACTTTGTTTCTCGTTATTTTGTTTGCAAACAAATTTAAACTTCAA